CATCTTATGGCCAATGGCAACTACTGTGGCTACTTTTTTTAGAAAAGAAAGAAGACAAGTTGACACCTGCTTGCAAATGTGTGGTCTGGCCCTTTATTCCTGTGCTGTTGCATCACTACAGTGTGACATGTTTAAGAGAGACATAGAGGGACTGATGTAGGTATAAAACAGAGGTCGGCAACCTAAGGTCCATGGGCCGGTAGTGGCCCACGGGGCTCATCTACCTGGCCCATGGTAACCCCTGCTGCCCCCCGCTCTTACTGGCATGGTGCAGCACAGGGACAGACTTCCGGGTTGATGGCACCTGTGCGCATGCGCTCCTCCGACCCGGATGTATGCCAGAAATAGTGTGTGCACACACACGTGTGGGACGGAGAAGAGCTCGCTATTTCTGGCGCACATCCTGGTTGGAGGAGCTCCAGAAATAGCATGTGCACAAGCAAATGGGCACTCCTCGGACCCAGAGGAGCATGCGTGTGCACACGCTCCGGCCCATTCTCCGACAGATGGAGCGTGGACCGGCCCATCATTCGGTAAGCTTGCTGACCCCTGGTGTAAGATGATCTCAAATGCACACAGAAGAACTTTTGTAGGGTGGGGTGGGGAATCAAACAAGAATCTTGGGTATCAGCCTGCAGATACAGAGCCTGCATAACTCTTAGATTACTCACAGATAAAAGCAAGTATTTGCAAACCATTTTTGTCCATACTTTTAAAAAAAACCAACCAGTTTAAAATGCAGATTCTGTCTTGCCCTGTTTTTTTTGTTTTAAGTTGCAACAGGCAAAGCAAGCAATATATCCTTCAAGCAGACTCAAGATCATGGAGTCACAGTATAAGGCTCACAGGTTTTTACTGGAAAACTTGAACAGTGTCCAAGACATAAAATTTAATAGAAAGATTCCTGCCATTTCCATTAACACCCCCCAAGATTCTATCATATAGTGCCTGTAGAAGTAAAACCTTAAATTTTTCTGATTTCCAACCATGAAAGTGTTTTTCACCTCTTAAAATCCTGTGAAGGTGAAAGCAAAGGCTACTTTCACATAATGACTAGTCTGGCTGAAACTGGCCCAAGACGTTTAGGTCCTATTTTGAAGTGTGTGAAAGTGGTAGCAGCTCCACACCCAAATAACTAAAATGGATAAGACAGTAACTGCTTACCTGGGGCACTGGGAGGGTAGCCTTTGCTGCTCGGTGCAGCTGTGGCATGGCCCCGGGGGACTATGTTTCACTTCCTGCGCAGTGGGGGTTGGGATGTTTGGCCCTTCCCTCCCAACTGAGCAGGCATTGGCCCATACAAACAAGCCAACCAGTAACCCTGGAGAGGACGGGCTTCCAGCCCCTTGAAGTGAGGGCCATACCTAGAGCGCCCCCCCCCCCCGGATTGCCACTGGATTTAGCACCCACCCACCCTGTCTGTATGTCCCCTGCCCATAGGTGAGCAGGCAGTGCCCTCTGTGGCACCCTCTTGGCTCATCACCCATTGTGGGTGAACCGGTAGTGCTCCCCCAAAATCCACCTCTGGAGCATGTTGGTAGAAGACTTTTGCAGGCCTATTTTCATTGAATTCTATACCTAGGTAGCCCATGCCACTCCTTCCAACTCAATGGGAGCTTCTACACAAGATTTGAATGCAACTCATAACAGAGAATGGCATGTGGAGCTAGTGCAGTCTACAGTTCATCCTGCTTCCTGTACCCAATTAGCTCTTTTCTGGATTCAGTGTGTGAAATGCACACCCTCCATTAATTTACTAAGCTTTCTGCAGCCAGTCTGATCACCGATTTGAAGCAATCCTCATCCTGTCAACTGCCCTGCATTATTGGGCACTTTTTCTTCTTTTTTGGGGGGGGGGGGAGGACATTTTGCATGCATCCCACCCACCCCTTCACTGGACACATTTGCTTTCGCCATGGAGCAAGGATGCACATTGCTTATTATTTTGCACAGCTAATGATTACATTTCACTAGACTTAAATAATTACACAAGACTTAAAATAATTTCAGAATAAGGAGACACATTTGTAACACAAATGAGCACTCTGAATTAAGGAACGACTAAATAAAGACATCAAGGCATTTTAGCACTGCTGAAGCTGTTTCTTCCACAATGAGCTGGCCCTGGAATTGAAAGTGTGGTTCAACACAACACTTAATATAGCCTATAGCCTCACTACACTGCTCTTTTCGGTGCCAGGAGCAGACCTTTTTATTTCTCCAGACCTTTTATTGCATTTAAGCTCAATCACTTTTATCTGTTCTGGTTTTCCTGACAGTTTTAAATACTCAGTAACGTTGGCTGACTTTATAGTAGACCATCGTGGAATCTTGTGATGAATGGCAGTATACAAATTTTAAATAGGATCCTATATTGCTCCAGTTTATATCCTGCCCTTCTTCCTGAAAGAGCCCAGGGAGCCCAAGACCAAGAGAGCCCATCCTCTGACAAGCTTCACCTTCCTTTAAGACCAACTTCCAGAGGACCTCTAGCAAAGAGGGAACTAGTCACATGGCTGAAGTGAAGAGGGAGCTTGATGAAGCCCAAGGCCTCCTTGTATCAGTTATCATTTACTTATTTCATAAAATGTATATACTGCTTGATTGCAAAAAAAGGATAAAGTTCAAAATGGTTTACAAAAAGAATGAAACCATGACATTATTAATAAAAACAATTTAAGTCCAGTCAGATGGATGGCATAGAAAATAATAAAATTATTGTTATAATTCTTCAGAAAATTAACACCAGCAATAAACTAAAAACACCAGCATTCTAAATATCTGGAAAGCCTTGTTTAAAAGGGGAAAAAAATGTTTTTAGCAGGTGACAAAAAGAGTACAGTAAAAGTGCCTGCCTGATATCAGTAAGAGTAAGGAGTTCTGAAGTGCAGATACCACCACACTAAAAGATTGGTTTCTTACAAATATGGAACAAGTAATATGTTACAGTACCAGTTCCATAGATCAACTCAGTCAGTGGTACATAAGACTCTTAATCTCAGAGTCGTGGCTTCAAGCCCCATGTCATGGTGGAACGTTTGTTGTCTCTGAACGCATATGGGCAGGGGCCAAGGGGCATAATCCTGCTGTCAGCCTGCCCGCCCACAATATATAGCCACATAATTTGTGGCGGGTTTTCCCAGAAGCAAAGTTTTAGTAACCTATCAACGCTACAGATTTAAGATGTTTCAACAGCTAGGGTTGCTGCCCCAAGTTCTGGGAATCCTGGGAGCCATCGCTTCGTGAAAGTGCCTAGGTAAGAGGAAGCAGAATTTCCAGCTGCCTCACAAACTTACCACTTTCAGGATTATGTGTGGGAGTAGAAACGGAGCTGCGGTTTCTCAAGGCGAATATTTAACATGACATCAGCATCGATCCAAATAATATAAAAAAACCACACACACCAGAAAAGCATGAGATCCAAGTAGAACACAGGCGAAAGCAGGTACTGTGTTTTCTTCAAGATGAACTTTGGGCTTTACGCAGAACACAGGCTTCAGTCTGGGTGGCGGAGGGGAAAAAAGAAGAGCAGGCTGCCACTAGCTCCTCTTTATTAGCACCGAGGGACCCAAAACACATAGCAGGCTTTTTTCCCCTTGACCAGACAGTCTCCAGCTTGGCAGCATTGCCTGGAGTCACTTACCCATGCCTTTCAGTTAAGTTACCATAGCAACACAATGCAGATGTAACCCAAGTGTTTCACACAGCACAGCTGATTTATGCCAGCCCATTCGAGGAACCAAGGCAATGATATCTTGACTTTAAATAAGTCGCTGGAAAGTATCTGCTCTCCAACCACTTTGCCTCCTACCTTTTTTACCCACCAGAAAAGATCTTTTTAAAGTTTCATGAGCAACTTCAGTAATTCAGACTGGGGGAAAAAAAAACTGCAGTTGATTGGACTGGCTTTTAGAGCTGTAATCACCAGCACCACCACTCAGTCTTGTATTTTCGGAAGAGCGATGGGTCTGTGCTGTCCGACAGCTTATTTTTCCATCACAACCTTTTAAAAATAAGGACTGGGGCAAGTGTGGGGAAAAGGCAGCCAGGGCCAGCTCAGTCATGAGGCGGTTTGAGGCAATCCTCTCAGGTGGTGGGCATCTCAGGGGGTGGCAAAGTGGTGCCCACTTGGGGCCCTATTCCCTTGCCTCACCGCTGGCTTGGGCAAGTCTAAAGAAGCCTCACAGCATCTGGCTTTCATGCACATGAGCTTTTGCAGGACTCTTCTCCTCCCTCTCTAGCCTTCCTCACCCCGAGATAGAATCAAGGCACACATGGGAGCTTCCTTAGAGAAAAGCAGTACCTAGAAGCTTAAACTAATTTTAAAATATTAAACTTTAAAGAAAATTTAAAGTGGCTGCAGGGCAGGTGGTTTCTTAGTCACCTCAACAGAATGCCTTGGTGAGGCTGCTGAAGAGGCTGGAGACCACACCTTCACATTGAGTCCTGAAGGCTTTCTCCCTGCCTTGCAGGTCTTTTCCCAACAGCTACAAAAACTGAGGCTGCTGGTATCGTACAGGCCTAGGGAGTTTTGTTGCTGGATAGGGGATGTTGTTGCAGTTATTGATATTTTCATCTTTGTTTTTGATCTTCTTATGATTTCTGTGGGAATTGTTCAGTTAGATCATGTATAGTGGTACCTCTGGTTACGAACTTAATTCGTTCCGGAGGTCCATTCTTAACCTGAAACCATTCTTAACCTGAGGTACCACTTTAGCTAATGGGGCCTCCTTGCTGCCGCTGTGCACGATTTCTGTTCTCATCCTGAGGTAAAGTTCTTAACCCGAGGTACTACTTCCGGGTTAGCGGAGTCTGTAACCCAAGGTGTTTCTAACCCGAGGTACCTATTTATTTATTTATGATTACTTTTGTTATAGGTAAAGGACCCCTGGACTGTTAAGTTCAGTCAGAGGCGACTACGGGGTGCAGAACTCCGCTTGCTTTTCAGGCCAAGGGAGCTGGCATTTGTCCACAGGCAGCTTTCCGGGTCATGTGGCCAGCATGACTAAACCGCTTCTGGTACATGGAGGACCGTGATGAGTGCCAGAGCACACAGAAAGGCCGTTTACCTTCCTGCCGCAACGGTACTTATTTATCTTCTGCCAACCTAGCAGTTCGAAAGCACACCAGTGCAAGTAGATAAATAGATACTGCTGTGGCAGGAAGGTAAACAGCGTTTCTGTGCACTCTGGCACTCATCACGGTGTCCCGTTGTGCCAGAAGTGGTTTAGTCATGCTGGCCACATCAGCCGGAAAATTGTCTGTGGACAAATGTCAGCTCCCTCGGCCTGAAGCAAGATGAGCATCACACCCCAGTCGCCTTTGCCTGGTCTTAACTGTCATGGGGTCCTTTAACTTTTTACCTTACCTACTTTTGTTATGTTGTAATTATATATTTTTGTGTTGTAAGACACTTTGACCATGGTATATACTGTGGAAAGGAGGCATACAAATAAAATTATGTATGTACATATGTTGCCACTCTAATGAAGGATCCCCACCCTGGTCCTTTCTCAGAATGAGCCAAGACTAGACAGAAGGAGAAAGGTGATGTTACCACTACTGCAGCTGCAGGAAAAAGCAGGAAGGGGACAGAGCGAGGGTTGGAAGCAGCAGCCAAGGAGAAGAAGCAGCCAGGGCGGGGGGGGGGGGAGAAAATATGGAAGCCGCAGTAGGAAGAGAGAGGAGACGACACCTCCCTTCGCCTCAGGCAGCACAGATTCCTGGGTGAGCCCTAAGGACAGCTGCATATATCTCACTAATTTTATAGTGGGCCTTAAAATAAAATCCCCACAGAAGCATCATCTGCTGCCAAGCATAGAGCTTCACATAAACATTTTTGAGGCACATCTTTAGGAACCTCAAAACCTTCCTGTGAGAAATGGAGTGGCAGATAATGGTCTTCCTTGGGACACAAGGGCGAGTGGCCCATAGACGAGTCACAAAATTGTGCTGGTATGACTTTATTCACAGCTTTCACATTTACACGAAATTTGAACAAGTTGCCAGCCTTGATTAGGCAGTATGGCACATCACTTGAAGGTTCAGTATGGTAAGCTGCTATGCAAATGGTTTTAAGTGGGCAACTATATCCCCATGGGACAATTTAGATGAGTCATTTACTTATTTGCATCCACCTTGCCACCATCTAAGGTATGCTTGTAGTTCTGGTTTCTGAAATAAGAGAGCTCTTTTGTATATTTATATAAGCATGGGAATGAGAACAAAGAACATCCATTATGGTCTTTTGTAGGATTGTTTAAGAAAAGGAGACAAAAATGAGGCAGAACCAGACTAATGCATTTTCCTTGGGATATGGCACTAAAACAGCTGCAATTAGCATATCCATCTCAGAGAAAAAGGGGGCAAAGGAGACATAACTTAGTAGTAGTTCTCTTAAAATGCACCTTTCATTATTTATTTGTTACCAATTTATATCTTGCCTCCAACCATAGGTGCTCAAGACATGCAACAGGAAAGCAAGGCATCTTAAATTAGCAGAAATGCAAAAACCAATAGCACACAAAGAGCAGGTAGGATCAACAAAAATAATTAAAAACTGAAAACAAAAAACAAAACAGTGACAGGCCAAAGGCTCATTAGATGTCCCTCCCGCAATGTTGAAATACCATTAGTGAGGAATAAATGCAGGCTTTCCTGTTGTCTGCCTTGTTTGGTGAGAGAACATGAGAACTTCTCCAACAGATCTCAACATCTGAGCAGGCTGTATGTAGGAGCAATGACTTCTAAAGCCCTAACCAGCACTTTGAATTGAGACCAGAAATACAACGGAAGCCAGCATAGTTGTGTTGTTTTCATGTGGGAGTAGTATGCTCCTTGATAACTGTACCCCATCAGCTGGAATGGGAAACCAGAGATTTCATTTGTGTTCCTGGCCACGATGCTGCATGTTTTTGCTTCCTCTGTTTTGCTTTGGTTTTATTCCGGGGATTAGGAGATTTGTTAGCACATTTTATTAAGTCAGATTGATTATTAACACCCATAGCCTTGGTAGAACTCACTAATTTCATTCGGGCAAAAAGGTATAATGTAGTAAAGACCATCAATTTGTTAGCCTGTCCCTCCTCCCCGCTTTCTTCCTCAAGGGCAAAAGCTTAATTTGAGCTTAAACAGACCAGGCTCCTACACTGTATTTCCTCCAGCTTCAAAGGGAGACACTGAAAGCTTCAGAGGGGAGAGAGAAGTTTGACAGCTCATGGGGCTTTCCCCTTCTTGCTCCCCATTATGCATTTCAGCTTCACAAAGGATTCCCTCTGCAGGAGAGTCGAGCGCTAAAGCAGGTTATATTTTAGAGTGCAAAATCAAGAGGGGGTTAGCAAAGAGTGAGCGTGGGGGGAATTGAGCAGACAGCTGATTAACAGACTTGCATTTATGACAGTTTAATAATAGAGCTGTCACAATAGGAGAGATTTACTAATTGCAGAGTCTTTTCCTTTCAGGTCCCCATCACATTACCATTTAAATCCCTAGGCAACTTTCCCTAAACACCTCCTTTTAAAAAGGAGGGAGAAAGTACCTTCAGTTCTTATTCAGCTAAATATAATGCATGCAAGCATGAGCAGTGAAAATGGGACTTTTGCTAAGAACATAGGGTTTTTATTTAGAACACAAGAGCAGCCCTGCTGGATTAGCCAAAATCTAATCCAGCATCCTGCTCACACATTGGCCAACCAGAAGCATGGACCATTCTTCGTGGGCCCTGCCTACAACCTGGGAATGTGGCAGCCTGCCCCAGACCCCTCTGCTAGGGCTAACCAGGTGCCACACCTTAGTGGATCCCAGGCTAAGGAAACTGCCTGGTGTCTTCTCATGCCAGAATAGTAAATAGTTACAAGTGAATGCACATCCTTGCTATTGGGAATGTGAGAAAACCTCAAAACATAAGGCCAATTAAGGTACAAGTAAAATTATTTCCCAGCTCCGAGAACTGGTGATCAACAGTTGTCCACAGCAACTGAAAACATAGAAGAAGGGTGGGTGGGAAGATGGTGACAGTAAAGCGATGCTGATGTTGCAGGCCAAGCAGTCAAATAGCCTAGGAACAGACCAGACAGAGCAAGTTTTCCCTCATGCAGCAGTGCTGCCCACCAGGTCCTACTGGCACTTCAACCAGCCAACCAATCCTAGTGGCTTTCTGGGAGATGATGGTGCCTGCCAAATTGGAACCATGATTCATCACCACCACATCAAACCACAAAGCAGGCACACTGTGCAATGATAACAAGTTATAGCTTTCCAAAGAATGGCTCCCTGAAAAAGCAGGCCCAGTGTGGCATGATTGAGAGAATTGAAGAGATCTGTGCACCAACACAAAAGGGGCGTTCGCTGTGCCTGCTGTATCACCTCTTAAAATACAGTGGTACCTTCGGTTACAAACACCTCGGGTTACGAACACTTCGGGTTACAGACTCAGCTAACCTGGAAGTAGTACCTTGGGTTAAGAACTTTACCTCAGGATGAGAACAGAAATCGTGCGCCAGCGGCAGCGGGAGGCCTCATTAGCTAAAGTGGTACTTCAGGTTAAGAACGTTTCAGGTTAAGAACGGACCTCCAGAGCAAATTAAGTTCATAACCAGATTAAACCCTAAAATTACACACCTCAGACTTCTGCTAGTCATGAGGAGGGACAAGGCACTTCATACCTAGTCCTCTGGCCAATAAAAATCCTCTACGTGTCAGGTTTATTACCATGTACTATTAGCCTTACCATAAATAATCCTACTGGAAAGTGGGGGGTGTTTGCAGCTATGATCTAGCATCCTTCTAGAGTATGAAAACAATATGTTAACCGAGGAAGACCAGCAAAGACTGGTAGCAATCAGTGAAGAAATAACGGTAGGGTGAATATAGTTAGATGGGAAATGTGGAACAAATTTTAGTAGAGTTGATTTTTAGGAAGCTCTATAGTTAGGGCCAGTCATATCAATATGTGGTCTTAAAACAACCGCTGCATTTCAGGGCTCTGATAAATATTATGTGTCCAGCCTGTCAGTGCTCATGAGCAGAGCAAGGTATGCTTTAGCCATAAAAATGTGTTCCATATCATTCTTTGCCATCCTGGTACTCCTGCCAGATGTTTTGGACTACAACTCCCATCAGCGCCAGTGCTGGCTATAGCTGATGGGGTTTCTAGCCCAAAACATTTGGAGGGTGCCAGACTGGTGAAGACTGAACCAGACACCGAAAATCTCTATAAACTTTCAGTCAACTTCTCCAGTGTTCAAGAGGAACTTAACTTCGCTTGCACTGTACAGAAATTTGGTGTTTTTCAAGCCAAGCTCTGAAAGGAAACATCATATGAAGAATGATGCAGCCCAAGTTGGGAGATAATACTGCTCAAAAGCTCTCCACTGAAATTATAAGGGAGATTAAGATAAGCATTTTAACAGGGATAGGTAGAAATACTGAACATTTTAATTAACAACTGTCCATTTTCTCCAAGTTAATTTTTACCTTCAGTTCATTGACAAATAAGGATTCTTTAGCCACACTGCCCTTCTTATGCAAGTGGATTAACGCTTCAGCTTTAAAGCAGGTTCAATTCCCAAAATGCTATTAAACCCTTATTTCCTCCTCCCCCAGCTCCTACTTTCTAATAGATTAGCATCCAGCTGATCAAAAACTGAATAATTACAGTGCAGCAAGAAGGTTAATGGCAAGATACATCCACTGTCACCTCATTAGAAGAAGAAATCTGAAATGTTCATCTGTTTATTATGCCTGATTAGCACCGATGCACCAGAGACCAGTTTGACAGTCTGGCAGCTAGATTAGTTGGAGCACAGTTATCTGCAAGCATTACACATACCAAGCAACCAAATTTAGACCATCCCAATCGAAGTGAAGCCATGATAGTTATCAGAGAAGTGATTCAGTTGAATTAGTGGCAGGTCTAAAAGGCTATAAACCATGAACCTTGGGTATTGCTAGGAATGGAGTTCTGGAGGCCATACTTTCCTGTTTTAATCAGATTTGCCCAGAGTTATCCAAGATCTTCCTTCAGAGCCAATGTGAAAGGCTTTGGCCACACGAAGGCTATGTACATAATTAATAGCTTAAAATGCAACAAGACTGTCCCCTCACCCCCACATTGCATTTCAAGACACATTTGCACAGTGTTGTACACAAATGACCGATTTTGTTCCTTTACCTCTGCAACCCCTGTCCCCCTTTGAACTACCTGGTTCATCGCACCTATCTTCCTTCAGAGC